TCCTAAGGACCTATGAAGAGGGACCTCGGAATGAGGCTGTACTGCAACATCGTTGATGCGTCTAGGATTTACACTGGTCCTCCTGCTCCTCCTTCTCCTCTCCTCCGCCTCCGCCTCCGCCTCCGCCTCCGCCTCCTCCCCTTCCTCCTCCTCCTCCTCCTCCTCCTCCTCCTCCTCCTCCTCCTCCTCCTCCTCCTCCTCCTGGCGGCGAGCGAGGAGGGAAGTGAGAAGGAGAAGGCCATCTCAGAAGGCGGCGGGAGTTCTCAGAAGCCCTCGCGCCTTCTGAGAGGCTTCCTGCGCCTTCGGGGGGAGCTTAGAAAAGGAAACCCCTCGGAGGGCCTTCGGGGAAACTCCTCAGAGGGCCCGGGGGGACTTCCGGGCCTCCCCTGGGAAGGCGCGCCCCTTCTCACCTCCCCCCCCGGCGGGCTCGCCGCCGGCCCCAAGCCGAGCCCTCGGCGTCCCTAAAACAAGGCTAGGATCGGGATAAATCGCTCCAGAGCGTTCCAGAGCGCTCTCAGAGCGTTCCGGAACGCTCTGGAGCGGCCGCGGCGCCCAATACATTCTCCAAACCCACCGGTTCTCGGAGATTTCGAGTTATCCTGATCCGATTTTGTCCCGATCTTCGCGTCGTTTTAGTCCCCCCTCTCGCGTCCTGAGGTGCTGCAGCGAGGCGGCGCACGGGGGCTGCGACCGCGTCGGGCACATCCGGGCGCCGCAGAGCCGCTGGAAGGCGAAGCGCGCCAGGTGTAGGGCGGCGGCGCCGGCCTGCGTGCCGAAAGGGACGACGACAGGGACGAGGACGAGGAGGACGAGGACGAGGATGACGACGACGACCACGACACCGACCACGCCCACGACGACGAACACGACCACGACGACGACTCCGACGACGGCGACGAGGAGAACGAGGACGAGGACGAGGACGACGACAGCGACAAGGACGACGTCGACGAGGAGGAGGACGACGACGAGGTCGACGACAACGATTACGACAACAACAACAACGACAACGACAACGACCACGCCCACGACGACGACCACGACCACGACGACGACTCCGACGACGGCGACAACGAGGACGGGGACGACGACGACGACGACGACAGCGACAAGGACGACGACGACGAGGACGACGACGACGATGGCGACGACAACGATTTACGACAACGACAACGACAACGATAACGATCACGACAGCGATCAGTTTCAGACTGCTCGCTCTTCCTTGCCCGATTGGAAGGAGGAGGGGAGACGAGGGGGAGTGAGGGGAGGGGGGGAGGGAGTGAGAGAGCGGGGAGGAGGAGGAGGAGGCGGAGGAGAAGGAGGAGGAGGAGGAGGAGGAGGAGGAGGAGGAGAGGCAAAAGCGAGGAGGGAGGGGGGAGTAGGAACGGGGAGGGAGGAGGGAGTAGAGAGGAGGTGGACGGAGGAGGGGAGAGAGAAGAGAGTGGAGGGGAGGGGCAGAAGGAGGAGGATGAGGAGAAGGATCGGGTCAAGGATCGAGGATCGATACAGTTTCTGGGTTGTTCAAACGCTCTCGACCCTGTTTGCTCCGCTTCGAAGTTTTGCGCCTCTGGAGGCCTCTGGAGGGCCTCGGGGACCTCCCGCGGGATCAAGGAGGACCTCATGGAGACCTCCGATGAGTTTAGTGGCTGGAGGATCGAGAACCCAGATTCCTGCACGCCCAAAATGGGTACAATGCCCAACAGCAAATGCTGTCCGAATCCGATGGCGGCAGCAATTGAGCAGGCGACATTTTGTCTCCAGTGGACCCCGTGCGAGTCGACACTGGCAGCGATTCCTGTTCACAATGAAATGGGCAGGACAGGAGAGCGTCTACACAGTGCCAAGGCCCAGGATGCCCCTGGCCAGGCATGGTGGTGGTGGTGCACTGCCCACTGCGAAATGTTGGTGTCCACAAGCCGCTTCAAGGCCCCGGAACACAAAACAAACATGGGATGGCAGAAGGCTGGCCCCGATGAAGGGTTCGACCCCTTAGGCCCACGTCGAGAGAACACCCGAACTCTGGAAGAGGGAGGGGAGGAGGAGGAACAAAAGGGAGCATGAAGAGGAGCGAGGTGGAGAGGACCCTTGGGAGTGCTCCTGCGGGCCTCCCGAGGGCCCACGTACCACGTCTCTCCCTTAGGCCTCCTGGGAGGCCTCATCGCCACGGCCGGATCCGCTCCAGGACCCTGGTCAGAGCGAGATCTGGGAGGTGTCCAGGGGTGCACCTTCTCTGCTCCCGTCCTCGACCCTCGTCCTCTTCTTGCCGCTCCGTCTCCTCCGCCAACTCTTCCCCATCCTCCTCCTCCACCCGGTTTCTTTACACGCAGCTCGTCTCTGCCGCGCCACCAGGCGTGTCGGTGGGGCAGGCTGGGCGCTACGTCTGAGAAGTCCTCATCGCTTATGGCCCAGAAGCTTCAGATTAGCAACAGTTCCAAGGACGGTGCACAGGTGGTTTTCAAACGATGGCTATCGCTTTAGCGCCGCGCACATCTGCCTGAAAAGCACGCAACAGCTGCCAGGATGGAGGGGGAGTGTGTGTGTGTGTGTGTGTTTGTATGTGGCTATCGCCTTAATGCCGCGCCCATTCGTCTTCACAGCTTGAATTGGTTTCGAATATGGAAGAGCGGTCGTTTTCGAATTGGTGCTCTCGGTTCAGCGCCGCGCGCATTCGTCTTAACAGTTTGCAACATGTTTGAAGATAGAGCACATGTGGTTTCCAAAATGTGGCTCCCGCCTGAGAGCCGCCCACTTTCGTCTTAAAAGTCTGCACCAATTTCAAGGATGAGGCGCGTGCCGTTTTTTTTAATGTGGCTCTCGCCTTGGCGCCGCGACCAAACGTTGTCAAAGTTAGCAACAGTTTCAAAGATGGAAGGGCGGTCGCTTTAAAAGTGGTGCTCTCGCCTTTGCGCCGCGCATGTTCGTCTTCAAAGCTCGCAGCAGCTTCAAATATGGAGGAAGGCCCCTTTTCAAAATGTGGCGCTCGCCTCGACGCCACGCACGTTCGCCTCAACCGTGCGCAGCGATGGAAGGTTGATGTTTTCAAATTGTGTTCTCCCCTTCGCACCGAACGCATTCGTCTTAACATCTTGCAAAGTGCTCCAAGGATGGATGCCGGCTCCTTTTCATAGTGAGGCGCTCGCCTGCGCGCCGCGCACCCCGCCTCAGATCTTGCAAACCATTCGGAATCATGAGCGCAGGTCGTTGTCAAAGTGTGGCTCGCGCCCCAGCGCCGCGCAGGTTCAGCATCGAGCGCAGCACCCGGGGAGACGGAGGATGGCATGTCTTTAGAGCGGGCTGTGTGCCGTCGACTTCGTGAGTGCTAAAGATCCCCGGCTCACCAGCACATCAAGGATTGTACGGATCCAGGGTGGCTCTTGTTCAAAACTACAGTCGGGGGCTTGACCTAAGGAACCCAAAATAAGGAACGAGGCCCCCTATTTTCCATGAGTTAAACTTCGATTTCCGATCGAAAACAGAAGGAAAACCAAGCTGCGAAACACTTAAGGAACGCGGAGCCCCTCCCCAACGAAAAGGGTTCCTTTTTCAGGGCCCCGACTGTATCGCAAGGCCGCAGGTGCATTGACCACAAACGAAGCCTGTGCAATAGCTACACGGACGGGGGGGGCGTCCTCTTCTTCGAAACGGGGAGATCGCTGGACACCTCGTTGAGCTGCGTGGTCATGCTCTATCGCGTTGCCGGTTGCGCGCTGGAGATATGCAAGGCAGTTCTTTCTCCCTGCGGGCCTTCGACACAGTGGTACCCAGGCCCAGCGTGGCTGGCCTCTCCAGGGGGGGGGGAGCTCATTCCAGTTAAAAGAACGTCGCAAGGACATGTCAGGCGGGGGCCTGGGACGGGAGGGTGTCTTGCAGCATGAATACTGCATCTTGGATTTACTCTGGTCATCCGTCTCCTCCACCTCCTCTTCCTCCTCCTCCTCCTCTCTTTCCCCATCCCTGTCCTCATCCCGTTCCTCCTCCTCCTCACCATCATCACCATCATCATCATCACTATCACCATCACCATCGTCAACATCAGCGTCAGCATCACCGCCACCACCACCATCATCACCAGTATCACCAGCACCACCACCATCACAATCACCATATCACCATCAACATCATCATCATGATCAGTATCATAATCATCACCGTCACCATCACCACTACCACCATTACCACCATCATCATCACCATCACCATCCTCAGCATCACCATCACCATCACCATCACCATCATGATCACCATCACCACCACCATGAACCACCATCATCAGCAACAGCATCAGCATCCACATCATCATCATCATCACCAGCATCACCATTATCACCAGACCATTACCACCATCAGCATCACCATCACCACGATGATCACCATCACACTGATATTCAACACACGAATCATCAACATCCTCAGCATCACCACCACCACCATCACCATCATCATTATCACCATCATCACCGTCACCACCACCATCACCTTCACCATCACCACCATCATCACCACCATCATCATCACAATCATCATCACCATCACCATCTCCATCACCATCACCATCATCATCATAATCATCATCGTCATCGTCACCATCATCAACAACATCACCCTTATCATCATAATCAGCATCATCAGCCTCAGCAGCAGCATCATCATGAACATCATCATTACCATCATCATCACCATCACCATCACCATCACCATCATCATCATCATCATCATCCTCATCCTCATCCTCATCATCACCATCATCATCATCAACATCATCACAATCATCATCCTCATCACCACCATCACCATCACCATCACCATCACCATCATCATCATCATCATCATCATCATCATCATCATCATCATCATCATCATCATCATCATCATCGTCATCAGCATCAGAATCAGCATCAGCATCATCACCATCGGTATTGCCATCGTCATGGTCACCGTCACCGTCCCCGCCCTCGTCGCTGCCGCTGCCGCCGCCAAGGAGCCCGCCGGGGGCCCGCCGCCCGCGAGAGGCCCGCCTGCGGCAGCTGCGCCAGGCGCTCCGGCAGCTGGCGCAGCAGCGTGGGCACGGGGTGGTCCAGCGGCAGGAGGCCGAGGGCGGCGCCTCGGGCGCGGGCGCCGGGGGGGCAGGGGCAGAGGGGGGCTGCTTCTTGGAGGGCGGCCGGCCTCACACCTGGTGACCAAAGGCCCGCGCCTGCCAGGGAGCAGGGGGTGCTTCTACAGGAAGCCTTGCCCCCTCCCGCTTAGCCCCCCTCCGCGCGTGCAGGGGGCCACGTGCGAACCCTGCCCCTACCCCCTCAGAAATCGTGGGGGGTAGGGGTAGGGTTCGCTTTTGTTCCCCTAGCGTGGCCGATTGCGGCGCCTCGGGCGCGGGCGCGGGCTCGAGGCGCCCAGCCCAGGCGCCCAGCGCCCGGAGCGAAGCCTCGTCGCATCCGATCGGCCTCTGGGGCCCCTCGCCGGGCCCAGCGGGGGGCTGTCAAGACCGGGCGGCTCGGGACGAGGAGCCGGGCCCTGGGGAAGGAAGGGGTCGGCGCTCCCGGGGCCTCCTCCTCCTCCTCCTCCTCCTCCTCCTCCTCTTTCTTCATTCCTTTCCCTTGTACATGATACCAGAGAAAAACCCAATCGAGATCTTTTTAGGGCTATATAGGGCAATGGGGCTGTAGGGCTATGGGACCATAGGGTTATAGGAACAAAGGGCTACAGGGCTATAGGCATATAGAGCTATACAGTAGGGTTATAGGGCTGTAGGGCTATAGGGATGTAAGGCTGTAAGCGCTATAGGGCTATAGGGCTATAGGGCGATTGGGCTATTGGGCTCTAGGGCTATGGGGCTGTAGGGCTATAAGGCGATTGGGCTACATGGCTACAGGGCGATTAGGCTATGGGGCTACGGCAATGGGGCTATAGGGCTATAGGGCTATAGGGCTATAGGGCTATGGGGCTATAGGGCTATGGGACTATAGGGCTATGGGGCTATAGGGCTATAGGGTCATAGGGCTTTAGGGCTACAGGCCTATAGGGGTACGGGGCTGTCAAGCTACGAGGCTATAGGACAATGGGGCATAGGGCTATTGGGCTATATGGCTATAAGGCTATTAGGGCTATAAGGTTATTAGGGCAAAAGGGCTATAGGGCTGTAGGGCTACAGGGCTGTCAGGGCTGTCAGGGCTGTCGGACTACAGGGCTATAGGGCTATAAGGTTATAGGGGGATGAGGCTATAAGGCTATAGGGCTATAGGTCTATAGGGCTACTCGGCAACCGGGCACCTGGGCACCGGGGTAACTGGGCACCCGGGCGTGCCGCCGAAATCGGCGCCAAACCTTACCTAACCATATGAATCCGCTAGGATCCCTACAGAGGCAAGCTCTGGTTGGGGAATAACCTCTCGCTGTCGCACCCCGAGGCCAGATTTTAGGGCGGGCTGGGAGTTTCGCCTGAGACTTCCCAACCACTCATGACCCTGAAGCTCAAAAGTTGGCAGCAGCTTCACAGATGGAAGGCGGGTGGTTTCAAAATGTGGCTCTCGCCCGACCGCCGCCCACATTCGTTTTAAACATGTGCAAGAGTCTCACGGATGGAGGGCGGGTGGTTTTCAAAATGTGGCTTTCGCCTCAGCGCTGCGCACATCCGTGTTAAACCATTGCGAGAGTTTCACGGGCTGAGGGGTGGCCGTTTGCAAACTGTGGTTTTCGCCTTAGCGCCGCGCACATTCGTTTTAGACCCTGTACGAATGACACGGATTGAGGGCGGGTGGTGTTCAACATGTGGTTATCGCCTTAGCGCCGCGTGCACTCTCTTAAAATATCCCGACAAAGCAACCTTAACAGCGATGTGTAGGAGCATATCTGGAAGCATACCCCTTACGATTCAGATGAGAATCCAGTTGTAGAATTCTGCTGTTCTCGCAGTCGCAGTCGCATTCGCGATGACAGTCGCAGTGGCAACGGCAGTCGCAGTCACAGCCTCAGCCTCAGCCTGCCTCAGCATCAGCCTGCCTCAGCCTCAGCCTCAGCCTGCCTCAGCCTCAGCCTCAGCCTGCTTCAGCCTCAGCCTCAGTCTGCCTTCAGCCTCGGCCTCAGCCTCAGCCTGCCTCAGCCTCAGCCTGCATCAGCCTCAGCCTCAGCCTCAGCCTGCCTCAGCATCAGCCTGCCTCAGCCTCAGCCTCAGCCTGCCTCAGCCTCAGCCTCAGCCTGCTTCAGCCTCAGCCTCAGTCTGCCTTCAGCCTCGGCCTCAGCCTCAGCCTGCCTCAGCCTCAGCCTGCCTCAGCCTCAGCCTCAGCATCAGCATCAGCCCTCAGCCTCAGCCTCAGCCTGCCTCAGCCTCAGCCTCAGCCTGCTTCAGCCTCAGCCAGTCTGCCTTCAGCCGGCCTCAGCCTCAGCCTCAGCCTGCATCAGCCTCAGCCTCAGCCTCAGCCTGCCTCAGCATCAGCCTCAGCCTCAGCCTGCCTCAGCCTCAGGCCTGCAGCCTCAGCCTGCCTCAGCCTCAGCCTCAGCCTCATCAGCCTCAGCCTCAGCCTCAGCCTCAGCCTCAGCAGCAGCCTCAGCCTCAGCCTCAGCCTCAGCCTCAGCCTCAGCCTCAGCCTCAGCCTCAGCATCAGCCTTCAGCCTCAGCCTCAGCCTCAGCCTCAGCCTCCTCAGCCTCAGCCTCAGCCTCAGCCTCAGCCTCAGCCTCAGCCTCAGCCTCAGCCTCAGCCTCAGCCTCAGCCTCAGCCTCAGCCTCAGCCTCAGCCTCAGCCTGCCTCAGCCTCAGCCTCAGCCTGCTTCAGCCTCAGCCTCAGTCTGCCTTCAGCCTCGGCCTCAGCCTCAGCCTGCCTCAGCCTCAGCCTGCATCAGCCTCAGCCTCAGCCTCAGCCTGCCTCAGCATCAGCCTGCCTCAGCCTCAGCCTCAGCCTGCCTCAGCCTCAGCCTCAGCCTCAGCCTCAGCCTCAGCCTGCCTCAGCCTCAGCCTGCAGCCTCAGCCTCAGCCTCAGCCTCAGCCTCAGCCTCAGCATCAGCCTGCCTCAGCCTCAGCCTGCCTGCCTCAGCCTCAGCCTGCTTCAGCCTCAGCCTCAGTCTGCCTTCAGCCTCGGCCTCAGCCTCAGCCTGCCTCAGCCTCAGCCTGCATCAGCCTCAGCCTCAGCCTCAGCCCTCAGCCTCAGCCTCAGCCTGCCTCAGCCTCAGCCTCAGCCTCAGCCTGCTTCAGTCCTCAGCCTCAGTCTGCATCAGCCTTCAGCCTCAGCAGCCTGCCTCAGCCTCAGCCTCAGCCTCAGCCTCAGCCTGCAGCCTCAGCCTCTCTGCCTTCAGCCTCGGCCTCAGCCTCAGCCTGCCTCAGCCTCAGCCTCAGCCTCAGCCTCAGCCTCAGCCTGCCTCAGCCTCAGCCTCAGCCTGCCTCAGCCTCAGCCTCAGCCTCCCTTCAGCCTCGGCCTCAGCCTCAGCCTGCCTCAGCCTCAGCCTCAGCCTCAGCCTTCAGCCAGCCTGCCTCAGCCTCAGCCTCAGCCTCAGCCTGCCTCAGCCTCAGCCTGCTTCAGCCTCAGCCTCATCTGCCTTCAGCCTCAGCCTTAGTCTCAGCCTGCCTCAGCCTCAGCCTGCCTCAGCCTCAGCATCAGCCTGCTTCAGCCTCAGCCTCAGCCTGCCTCAGCCTCAGCCTCAGCCTGCTTCAGCCTCAGCCTCCGTCTGCCTTCAGCCTCGGCCTCAGCCTCAGCCTGCCTCAGCCTCAGCCTGCATCAGCCTCAGCCTCAGCCTCAGCCTCAGCCTGCCTCAGCATCAGCCTGCCTCAGCCTCAGCCTCAGCCTGCCTCAGCCTCAGCCTCAGCCTGCTTCAGCCTCAGCAGCCTGCCTCAGCATCAGCCTCAGTCTGCCTTCAGCCTCGGCCTCAGCCTCAGCCTGCTTCAGCCTCAGCCTGCCTCAGCCTCAGCCTCAGCCTCATCAGCCTGCCTCAGCCTCAGCCCCAGCCTGCCTCAGCCTCAGCCTCAGCCTGCTTCAGCCTCAGCCTCAGTCTGCCTTCAGCCTCGGCCTCAGCCTCAGCCTGCCTCAGCCTCAGCCTCAGCCTGCCTCAGCATTCAAAATGTGGCCCGGGAATGGAGTTCTGAGAACTCGAAGAACACGAAGTGGACTACAGTGGGCTCCGGGCATTCAAAATCATGCCCAGGAAGTGAGTTTTGGGAACTCGAAGACCACGAAGTGGCCTACAGTCGGCTCTGGGCATTCAAAATTATGCCCAGGAATGGAGTTCTGGGAACTCGAAGACCACGAAGTGGCCTACAGTTGGCTCCGGGCATTCAAAACCATGCCCAGGAATGGAGTTCTGGGAACTCGAAGGACACGAAGTGGCCTACAGTTGGCTCCGGGCATTCAAAATCATGCCCAGGAATGGAGTTCTGGGAACTCGAAGACCACGAAGTGGCCTACAGTTGGCTAAAAAGGAGTCCCCGGATTCCCAGGGCACCCGTCCGGCATCTGCCCAGACCCCCCTGGGGAGTCATGATGCTCTCTCTTTTGACCCCACTAGAAACCTATCAGTCCTCGCTTTTAGGTAAAAACGCAATGCAAGAATTTCACGGGTTGAGGGCGGTTTCCACTGGTCTTCCTCCTCCCCCTCCTCCTCCTCTTCCTCCTCCTCCTTCTCCTCCTCCTTGCTCCCAGAGATCTCTCGGGTCATCCTGGTTGCCCGCTCTGTTTCACTATATGTCTATTCGTCCCTCTTCCCGTTAACTCTCATTGGCAGGGTTTCTGAACGGGCTGGTGAGGATACACGAAGCGTGATGTATTGCAGTTTCGCCTGAGGCATCCTCTAAACATCGAATCCCTTTTGAATACGGTTCTTATTCAAACACCAGTTTCGCTTGAGACATTCTCCCAACATTGAGCCCCGACGTACAACACTCACACACAATAGACACATAATTCACACCACACATAACACACCACACACACACCAACACTTGCAACACACAGAACAAACACACGTAATATTCTCACTCTCTCTCACACGCACGCACATGCACGCACACACGCACACACGCACGCACAGCACGCACGCACAGCACACACGCACACACAAACACACACATCAAGCATACACAACACACCAAAGACACGCAATACACACACGCACGCACACACAGAGAACATACCGACCACACATAACACGCAGACCACACATAATTCTCCCATGCTCGCAACACACATCACACACATTACACACAAGACACACATCCTTCACACGGGTTTGTATGAGCCTGAACGCGCACGTGCTACTTGTATATACACCATTCCAGAGAATGTTGAGGTCCGCTTTGCACGACTGGCTGCCCATCACCTGCAACGACGAGATGATCAGAAGTTCTCAAGCCCATCTAAATGTGTTCCGGCATCCGGGTTCCGGTGCGGCGCTCATGGACGCTTACGAGGACTCCGGGGCAACGGACGTCATGACCACTCTGTCTTGCATGCAGACGCTGCCCGTCGGGAAGCGAACCTTGAGCACAATCGACTGGGAGGCATCTGGAACAGTCTGCGCACGCCCTCTGCTCGGTACCCGCGATACAAAGACGACAGTGATCGCACGGAGAGGCTTAGCATGAGAATGAGCTCGCTGTTCCATCAACAAGTCTCCGAGGGGCTAAGGGAGCCCATGCGCATTATCCAGGAGGTTCCCTTACAGAGAACAGATAGCGATCCCTCTGCGCCTGGCCGGGCGTCGCCTGAAGTAGACGGGGGAACGTTGCTTGTCGCGTCTCGGAGCCCTGCTATCGGCCCTCATCGGAGGACTGCACACTGCCCATAGTGGGATCGCGCTCTGCGGCATGACAGCGAGGTACTCGTGGCCAGTGAACTTCTCGTGGCGTAGCCCTCAACGCCGCCTGATGGTAAAGGCTTCCCCATCGTACCGGTTTACGGCGAGGAATCCTGGGGCACAAGCTCTCTGGAAGCCCGAAACGGCGCGGTGACGGACCATGCGGTGACCTCGAAATCCCAAGAGACCCCACCGCACGGTCCGTCACCGCACGGTCTTGGGACCCTGGAGGCCCCCGTCGCCCGAGACATCCTCGGAGAGGGACTCGAGTCCCAAAACCGTGCGGTGACCCCGAACCCCCACCGACTCGCCGCACGGTGTGGTCACCGCCCCGTTTGGGGGGCCCCCGAGAGCTCCGTCGATCCTCGCGGGCCCCGAGGTGCCCTCGGAGCTCCTGCGGGACCCTGGGGCCATCGGGAGGCAAGGCATGATCGTGGGGCACCTGCTGGCAGGCCGACTTCTGTTTCCCTTCGGTGCGCCTAATTACAGTCGGGGCGTTGACCTAAGGAACGATACATAAGGAACGGAGCCCCTTTTCCATCCCAAGGAATAACGCATAGGGAACGATACATAGCAAACACCGCACAAGGAACTGTAAATGACACATGTAACATCTGAGGAACGACCGAGCCCCTTTTGAAGAGTAAGCGTTCCTTACTCAAGCCGCTCACTGTACCTGCACGGATGGCAGGGCTGCGGGCTGCGCGCCGACAGCCACTCCAAGCAGGCCCGGCTGGCCTCAACGGCCCCCCCGAGCAGCCCGGGGCGGACTCCACACCCATGGCGGGCCACCTCCAGGCCCCCCCCTGATGGCGCTCTCCGCGACCCAGGGTGGAGGCGTTGCCACCGCCCCGGACTACTCTCGGGAGCGGCCAAGAGGGGGGTGTCCAAGAGGGGGGGGTGCAAATCATGACCGGCGGCACGTGCGCGGCACAGCGGAATAAGAAGAGGCGCCATGAGATCTGGGGAAATATCATGGCCCTCGCCACGATAAGCACCCCACTAGTCACCCCCCTCTTTCCCAGACCCCCGACGTAATGATTTGTTCATTACGTCGACCCCCAGAGGTCCCGACCCTTTCCCCATGACCTGCTTTGCATCCTGAGTCGTTTTCTGACGCTCCCGAGGCCCGGTGAGGGCCCCCGGAGGCCGAAAACCAGGAAAACCCTCCCGCCATGATTTTTTCAAAACTCGAGGGGGTCTGGGTTTCCGCCCCCGATACTCGGGGGCGCCGTGGAAGCCAGCCGGGACACACGGGGGGGGCCGTCTGCGCGCCGCCCGCAGCCCTACCAGTGCGGACGCGTCCTCTCGGGAGCGCCCTGAAATCTGGGGAAATATCATGGCCCTCGCCACGAGAAGCCCCCCCTCTTTTCCGCCCCGGACTACTCGGGGGGGCCGTTGAAGCCAGCCGGGACACACGGGGGGGGGCTGTCTGCGCGCAGCCCGCAGCCTTACCAGTGCGGACGCGTCCTCCCCCTCCTCCTCCTCCTCCTCCTCCTCCTCCTCCTCCTCCTCCTCCTCCTCCTCCTCCTCCTCCTCCTCCTCCTCTTCCTCCTCCTCCTCCTCCTCCCCCTCCTCCCTCTGCTCGTTCCCTCCTCCTCCTCCTCCTCCTCCTCCTCCTCCTTCTCCTCCTCCTCCTCCTCCTCCTTCGCGAGGGAGCGCCCGCCCCACAGGCCTGCGTCGAGCGCGCCGTCGGGCACGTAGGCGTCCGGGCTCGCGGCGTCGACCTCGGTCGGCGCTGCACCGCCCTCCTTGTGCTCCTCGGTTCTCCCGGTCGCTCCTCCTGCTCCTCCTTCTCCTCCTCCTCCTCGCGAGGAGGGATCTGCTCGTCCTCCCTTTCTCCTCTCCGTCGTCGTCGTCCTCCTTCTCGATGTTATTCGTCCTCCGCGACCCTCCTTTCTCTCATCCTCGATCATTCTCGGGAGTAAGCATCGAATCGGGAGATCGGATGGCGTCGAAATTTGCGTGAGAATCTGGCTGCGTGGCGCGGAGTCGGAATCGAGTCATATCGACTGCGCCCAGATGCACATCAGAGCCATGGGAGCATTGGGCCGCACCGGATTGTCGGGAGATCGGGATCGAGTCGAAACGGGCCGGCCGAAATCAATATGGAATCGGATCGATTGGACCGATATAGGCCCGTCCTTGATGGTGCTGCTGGTCCGTCGCCTCCTCGACCATCCTCGTCCTCCTCCCTCGCTTTTCCTTGACGCCTTACCTCCCCGTGCCACACTACCAGGCGTGCCCATGGGCCGGGCCACGCCGGGCGTCTCCCTGGAGACGTCCTTGCAACTCACTGCCCTGGGGACGAACGCGGTGCTGAATGGCCAAGAGGGTTTCCAGAATTCGGTTCTCGCCTCAACGTCGCTCACGTTCGCTTAGCACATGCAACATACACAAGGACGCAGGCCGAGCTTGTGTTCAAAATGTGGTTCCCGCCGTCGCGTTTCGCAGATTCGCTCAATTCACTATGACGTACCCAATCCATTTAAGTAGGAAGTTGCCAAAATTTGCATAGACAGCGAGAGCGCAAACGCCGTCATTGTTTGCGCAACCTATATGGGAGGCGCCCGCGTTGTACGACTCACAGGACAGCAACAGGATGACGAAGTTTGGGGTTCCACGCTCAAGAAATACATGGGGGTGATAACGCAGGATCGGAGAAGGATGGGGGAGAGCTGAAATCTTCACCCGGCAGCAACGGGAAGGCGGTGAAAGGAGAAAGAGGACGACGACGACAGAGGCGAAGTGAGAGGGTAACGCTTTGTCCAATGCCACGCTGGACAAGCAGTGTTTCGCAGACGTGTCTCTATATCGCTCCACGGGAGTACACGTCGTTCATTTCTAATCGTGCTCATGTCTAATTGCGCTCGTTTCTAATTGTGCCTGGCCCCCTAGTGGCCAGGAGGAGGACCAGGACAGGAAAATTATACATGCAAGGATCTTTGCCCCTCAGAACATCAAACAACTTTCGAATAATTGCTAATGAACAGTGTGTAGCTGTTCATAGCTAGTGCAAGAAGCGAGCGAGGCCTAGCTCGCCCGCCATCGTCTCCGCCTCCTTCCTGCGCCTGCCAGCGCGGGAGCTAAACTACCGCAGGCGTGCCGCCAGGTCTGCGGGCGACCCGCGGGAAAGGAAATCAAAGCCGGGACCGCGTACCATCGGCAGGTAGTGCACCGTCGTCGCCCTGGAGAGCGTCGCGTAGAGATGCAGCCATAGGGCGCCCAAGTCGCCCGCGTCTTTGCACCAGGCGTCGACAATAACTCCGCGGTGCGTGATCCAGCCCTGGCCGGCCGAGGACGTCATAACACCTGCGTGTGAGATGATGACCTAGCCAGCGCACGTGACCTTATGCCTGTGAAAGTCGAACGGGTTCGAAGTCCGCGGCTCGATCAAAACGAAGCCCGCCGCGTTCGTGGCGCCGATGCGGCGATCGAGCTCCTCGAATTGTTGGCCGCAGGGGCTGGCCTTGTATTTGTCCATGCGCACCCACACGCCGTACGGCAGGTACCGCAGGTACGCCAGACGCTGCTCGGCTTTCGCTGCCTTTACGTCGTCCTCATCCAGCCCACTGTCGAGCTCCAGGTGCTCCAACGGGCGGATGCGCATGCCGACGTGCAGAAGTAGCGTTTTGTGAATGTTGCCCGTGTCGCCCGAGCTGACGCGGTTGACCAGCTTCGCGGCCAGGTCAAAGGGCAGCGGAGGCGGGGACGAGTCGGCTGCCTGGACGGCTGCTTGGGTTCATCTGATCTGAAGAAGGCGTCACTCCGCTGGACCACCCAAACACCCTGGCAATTGGCGACCGTTGCGCAGTTCGCAGCCCTAAACAACGGAAAGTTCTCATGTGATCTGGATAAGGAGTCTCTCCGTTGAACAGCAGCCCCCGAATGTAGCGACGGTTTCGCGGTTCGCAGCCCGCCAGCGACGGCGAGATCTCATCTGATATGAATGAGACGTCTCTCCGCTGAAACACCGCGCAACCATCGAAAGTGGCGACAGTTTCGCAATTCGCAGCCCCAAGCGACGGCGAGGTTTCATCTGATAGGAAGAGAACCTCACTCCACTGTACCCCCCTACGAACCCCCGAAGGTGGCGACCGCTTCGCACTTGCAGCCCCCTAGCAACGGCGAAGTCTCATCTAATTTGAAAAAAAAACGTCTGTCCGCGGCACCATTGGGCAATCCTCGAGAGAGGCGCCTGTTTCGCAAATCGCAGCCCCCAACGACGGCGAGGTCTCATTTGATCTGAGTGGGACGTCTCTCCGCTGAACCACCGAACAACCCTCGAAAAAGGCGACAGTTTCGCAGTTCGCAGCCCCCCGCGACGGCGAGGTCTCGTCTGACCCGTATAACACGTCGCTCAACTGGACCCCCCAGCAACCCTCGAGAATGGCGACGGTTTCGCAGTTCGCAGCACCCCAGCGACGGCGAGGTTTTATCTGATCTGAAAAAGACGTCACTCCGCTGGACCCCCCAGCAGCCCTCGAAAGTCTTGACGGTTTCGAAGTTCTTACCCCCTGCGACGGCGAGGCCTCGTCTGATCCGAGAAAGGTGTCACTCCGCTGGACCCCCCATCAGCCATCGACAGTGGCTACAGTTTCGCATTCGCAGCCCTCACCGCGAGCTCGAGGCAGGCAGGCTGGCAGGCAGGAGGCCTGCAGGCTGGCGGGCAGGTGCGAGCCAGGCAAGAGGCAGGAGAGCAGAGGAGGACGGAAGGGAGGAGACGGGAGGCGGAAGGACGGAGTGGAGACCGCAGCGCTCCCTTCGAAAAGAGAATCCAACGCAGGAGGGTTGGGAACAAATGCAACGCATCAAATCAGAGCCCCGAATCATCAGGGGTAACTCGGGTCATGGCTAACTCGGGCTCGTTTTTCGGGAATCCGAACCCGAGTTGCCCCGGGCCCGAGTTACCCTGGATAATTCGGGCGCCCAGAGCCCCGAATCATCAGGGGTAACTCGGGTCAGGGCTAACTCGGGTTCGTTTTTCGGGAATCCGAACCCGAGTTACCCCGGGCCCGAGTTACCCCGGATAATTCGGGCGCCCAATCAAACATGGAGATCGTGAACGTGTCATGCGGGCCTCGCCTCAGCGTCGCGCACCTGCGTTCTCAAGGCTTCCAGCAGCTACAGTCGGGGCGTTGACCTAAGGAACCCTAAATAAGGAACGAGGCCCCTTTTTTCCGTAAGTTAAACTTCGAATTCCTTTCGAAAACCTAAGGAAAACCTGAGGCAAGCTGTGAAACACTTAAGGAACGCGGAGCCCCTCCCAAACCAAAAGGGTTCCTTCTTCAGGGCCCCGACTGTACACGGATGGAGGCCGGGCCGTTCCCACAAGCCGGCCCTCGCCGCAGACGCCCTCGAATGGTCCTCCCCCTCCTCCTCCTCCTCCTCCTCCTCCTCCTCCTCCTCCTCCTCCTCCTCCTGCTCCTCCTGCTCCTCCTGATCATCCTCCTCCTGCTCCTCCTAATCCTCCTCCTCCTCCTCCTCCTCCTCCTCCTCCTCCTCCTCCTCCCCCTCCTCCTCCCCCTCCTCGTCCTCCTCCCAACGACCCGACCTGCCAGAACGTGCAGCACTCACACGGACCGAGGGCGGCTCCCCTTTCCAGGGGGGGCCCTCGCCGGAGCCTGCCGCAGAGGCGGTCTGGCCACAGGCCTGCGGTGGCGGGGCACCTGCACACGGGCCTGGGGCAGACCCTCTGCAGCACGGGGCTCCACGCTCGGGCCGGGCGAACGGGTAGGGGGCCACGTGTGAACCCTACCCCTACCCCCCACGATTTTTGAGGGGAGGGTGGGGTTCACTTCGCTCGGGAGCTCCCGAAAAAAGTGAACCCCACCCTCCCCCTCGGAAATCGTGGGGGGTAGGGGTAGGGTTCACATGTGGCCCCCTAACGGGGGAGATAGCAAAGGGGGGGGGGAGAATCACCTCGCGTGGCTGATTTTCCCGGCGCCTCCTGGCGCCGGGAGGCGCCCATGTGTCGAGGAAGGGGCTCGGCGGCGGGGCCGAAACTGGCTGCGTGCAGCAGATTTTGTACCCCCCCCTTTCCCGATCCCCCATTTCGTTCGGCCCGATACGCGGACGCCTCCTTGAGAACTTGATCCTCCTATCGCTTTAGGTGTCTTGGCTCTTGGCGTAGCTTGAAGTCGGGCCTGTCCCTTTACAAGGGGAAATATTTAAAAATAGTCAAACAAGAATCCGGGGACGATTCTTCAGCATTTTTCGATCCATTTTTGAATATTGTTTGACTATTCCCTACCTAGGCTCTGCCTAGAAGGGTTCTTACCGTGTTGGCTTAAAGGGCCGGGCAGTGTTTCACGCCCCGGGCGGTTCCCCCAAGATCCGCCCCGCAGTTCCCCCAATGACGCTCCCTTAGCTCAGAGTTGCTTATCTTATCTTAGCTTAGCTTATTTCATCTCAGCTTAGCTTCATCGCAGCTCAGGTTTATCTTAGCTTCGCTTACCTTCATCTTAGCTTCGCCGAGCTTTAGCATAGCAGAGCGCAGCATAGCATAGCAGAGCGTAGCACAGCACAGCGCAGCACAGCATATCATAGCATAGCACAGCTCAGCATAACATATCATTTCATAACACAGCATGGCGCAACATATCATATCATATCATATCATATCATATCATATCATATCATATCATAACATATCATATCATGCCATATCATATCATAACCTAACATAACATAGCATATCATAGCGCGGCATAGCATAGCATAGCAT